TTTTTTTTTTTTTTTTCCTTTTTACTTAACCCAAACCACAAACTGTTCTTCATAATCACCAAACACCCCACCCCACTAATCAACCAGCTAAACCGATAGCTCACAGCAAGTCTTTATTATCATAATCTCCCATAGATTCAAAATTTATCTCGGGTCCAAACCTTGGCAAGTTTATCGAATCGCCAACATAATCGAGGGGCGAGTCATCCATGAATGCAGCGTTGTACTCGTACTCGTATTCATATAAATTTTCTTGATCAGGAATTGGAGGGAATTGGGAGTCGGCTGTTGACTCGTTTATTGCGAGATGTTCGTTGAAGGCCCTCGAAGCTTCATATTCTACCTTCTTCTTTGCTTCAATAATCTGATTAAATTTTACAAAGTTCCATGAGACAGTAGAAGAAAGATTTTCGAAGGACACAGTAAGATTACTAAAAGCAGTTTAATGCGCTTACGTATCGTCCATCATCAGAGTTTTGGTAGACGAGAATGTAATCACCAGTTACTAAGTGGTGAGCGTTGACAAATCCCCCTGGTAATATTTGGTTTCCCATAGCGAAAAAAGAAAATAAGAACTGAATTAATTCAGAATCAATTGATATAGAGGAGGTAAAAGATAAAAGATTTTTTTTTATCTTTTCTCTTATGGGTTTGTGGGGGAGATCTTACCAGTGGACTCGAGGACGTACATCCTGCTGCTGTTATTTGGCCAGTATCTTCGTACAGAAAGCAAAAAATCAAGAAAATGTCTGCTAATCTTTCTGCTAAGAACACTAAAACTTGTTTGGCTTCATTTTGATTTATGTTTCTATCTTTACTCCTTATGGTAGGTTTGAAGTCATTTCACTAAGATAACAAACACACTTCATATTATTAAACTGAAAATACCAGCTTTGTATTGACTGAATGCTGCACGATCTAAGTGCAAAGTTAAATAAGGGTAAAAAATTAAAATGAAGAGCTCAAGTATTTCATGCAGAGCATACATGAAAAAGGGTTGTGTTACTATTGACGAGTAAAGGTAGTGCTTTCGAAAATAAAAAATAAAAAAAAAAAGTTAGGGAGAGTGAAGAAAAAAGGCAATATGGTTCACACAAACCTGTACTTGAACCACCAATCGTGAACTCCATCCATATCGAGCATGTAGATAGAGATCCCTTCCTTTGTCTCAAGAACAGGGAGATGAGTCTCGGCATCTTTCTGTATTTAACCATCATAAACAAGAAGATTAGTTGACCTTATCAAAATATTGTCTCTGATATTTTCTTTTGCTTAAGATAGAAATGAACATATTGTTTAATGAACGAAAATTTTCACATGGGCACCTTTGGGAGGACCATTCTTCTGAGGCTACTCACGTCACTGTTCTTGAGCTGCTTGTTGAAAAGGTAACAGAGTTTCGAAAGATCCATCAACTAAAAGTCATTTAAAGAAAAGAGAAAGATATTAATGTAAAAAATGATGTTAATAGTGAACCGAACGCGAATAATTTTATCCCTTTACAAGCACGTGCTCTATTCCGACGGCACGTGTAAGATAACCGCCGCTATAATGGAACAGAACAGATGCATCATTACTCGAGTGGTGGTAGGTAAGAAAGCACCACCACCCGACAAATAAACGACAGCTCTTAATTGGATATATCAACAGTATTCTTTTTAGCGGCGCCATTTAAAGCAACAACATGCATGCAAGTCGACTCGTACGTAATTACTAGCTAGGACAAGCTGGTCTATTGTCCAGTGGGCAGGTTATAATCAAACTCCTAACAATATATACATATAAATTACTCATTAATAAAACCAAGTGCAAATAAATTAAATATTGCTTATTAGGTTCTGGTTTATAGTTTCCTTGTGTATATTGATGCATTGTGAGCTAGTATCCCCAAAAGGTCTGTACGGACGAACAAAAATATGAATAATGCTCTCCGTTACAAAACCCAATGGGGGCGGGGGTCCATCGTACTATGTATGACCTTTGTCTGCATACTACATGGATCAGGCTAAATACTTAATAATAATCCACAGGCTAACTAGCTTTATCTATCTATCTATCTATTAACATGTTATCTTATGCATTGGAAGAAGTACTTGCTGTTTCACAAACCTTGTTTAGATGATCAAAAAAACATTTTTTATAGGGGCGATTGAAGATGTTTGGCATTATAATAATATGCGTGCACACATATGCATTCAGAGTATATATGTATACCAATGCACTAAACAGAGAGATTAAGCAAGAACGAGAAAGAGTTAATAAATTAACAAATCATCATCGATAATAAATTAACAGAGTATGTATAATCTATTATTAGTATTTGCTCTGTCTGTACTTTACAGTTTTGTTAATTTGCATCCCCAAGAAATTAAGGCGCCTAACTTTTTTTTTTTTTTTTT